GATATCAGAAACACTGCTAGAACAAGTATTAAAGCCTTCAAGAGAAAATTGGGCAAGTATCTTTACCAGGTGCCAGATTAACCAGGCTGTGATGGATATGTGGGTCAGCGGGCCTCCAACAGCAACAGCCTGATTGACCAGGCAAGCACCAGACGAACCTGCCCCATGGCCGGGCTCCAGGAATAGAAAGACTCGAAACTCATCAAAGGTATATCGTGCAAGATCAGAGCCTGATCAACCAGGCTGTTACTGTTGGCCGCACTCAGACCTACGTAGGAACTACAGCCCGGCTGGTGAGGTACTGACATTAGATGATTATCCAGCCCGGGGTCTTGAAGACTGCGCATTTCTGGCAAGATAGTTGTTGAATTGAATGATAGGAATGTGTTTGAGCGTTGTTTGGGTGAGCGTGTTGGTGTGGTTGTGTTGTGAAGACGTTGTTACTGAGATCTTCAGTACAAGTCTGACTAATTATGTTATAAAAGAAAATCGTAAACTAACATTTGAGAGTTTTATCTCTAACATTCTTGTACTCGCCTAATTGTGGTTGCAAGGGTCGAGACTCAGCTCCTGGCCCCGCCTCTTCACTGATCGCTACTAGGTCCTCTCTGCTTCCTGAGCTGTCATACCTCGTCTTAAAGCTATGTATGGTTCCTGCTTTCACTACATCACTTGCTAGGCTATTCCACTACCTGACGACTGTGACTGAAGAAATACTTCCTAACGTCCCTGTGACTCATCTGAGTCTTAAGCTTCCAATTGTGACCCTTTGTTTCTGTGTCCCCTCTCTGGAACATCCTGTCTCTGTCCACCTTGTCTATTCCGCGCATTATTTTGTATATTGTTATGTCTCCCCTGACCCTCCTGTCCTCCAGTGTCGTCAGTCCGATTTCCCTCAACCTTTCTTCATAGGACATTCCCCTGAGCTCCGGAACTAGCCTTGTTGCAAACCTTTGTATTTTCTCTAATTTCTTGACGTGCTTGACCAGGTGTGGGTTCCAAACTGGTGCTGCATACTCCAGTATGGGCCTGACGTACACAGTATACAGTGTCTTGAACGATTCCTTATTAAGGTATCGGAACGCTATTCTCAGGTTTGCCAGGCGCCCGTATGCTGCTGCAGTTATCTAGTTGGTATGTGCCTCGGGAGACGTGCTCGGTGTTATGGTCAACCCAAGATCTTCTCGAGTGCGGTTTGCAGCCTTTGTCCACCTAGCCTATACTCTGTCTGCGGTCTTTGCCCTTCCTCAATCTTCATGACTACATTTTTCAGGGTTGAAATCGAGAAGCCAGTTGCTGGACCACGTGTCCAGCCTGTCCAGGTCTCTCTAGTTCTGCTTCACATCATTTGCGAACAGGGGCACTTCAGAGTCTATCGCTTCCATCATGTCATTCACATATATCAAAAATAGCACTGGTCCTAGGACTGACCCCTGTGGTACCCCGCTTGTCACAGAAGCTCACTGTGATACCTCGTCACGTACTATGACTCGTTGTTGCCTCCCTGTCAGGTATTCTCTGATCCATTGCAGTGCCCTTCCTGTTATATGCGCCTGATTCTCCAGCTTCTGCACTAATCTCATGTGAGGAACTGTGTCGAAGGCCTTCCTGCAGTCCAGGAAAATGCAATCAACCCACCCTTCTCTCTAGTTTTTTACTTCTGTTACCTTGTCATAAAACTCCAGAAGGTTTGTGACACAGGATTTGCCTTCAATGAATCCGTGCTTGTTGTTAATAATCGTGTTTCTTTCCAGGTGCTCCACCACTCTCCTCCTGATAATCTTCTCCATGACTTTGCATACTATACACGTCAGACACACTGGTCTGTAGTTTAGTGCCGCGTTTCTGTCTCCTTTCTTAAAAATGGGGACTACATTTGCCTTCTTCCATACCTCGGGTAGTTGCCCAGTTTCAAGGGATGTATTGAAGATTGTGGTTAGTGGCGCACACAGCGGCCCTGCTCTTTCTCTAAGGACCCACGGGGAGATGTCCGGACCCCTCGCCTTTGAGGTATCGAGGTCACTTAGCAGCTTTTGCACCTCCTCCTCCATTGTTTGTATGTCATCCAGCATCTGTTGGCATGTTCCCTCTTGGTGGTTCCGGAACTCTGTGCTGTCTTCTCGGAACCATTCCTGTCTCTACTGTAAATGCTTCCTTAAATCTCCTGTTGAGCTCCTCGCATACCTCGTGATCGTTACTTGTGAGTTCCCCACCCTCTTTCCTCTACCACCCTCTTTGACTGTTGTCTTCCACCTGATGTGGCTGTACAGCAGTTTCGGGTCTGATTTGATTTTCGATGCTATGTTATTTTCATACTGTTGCTGGGCCTCCCTCCTTACCTGTGCATACTCGTTCCTGGCTCTTCGACTAATCTCCTTATTTTCCTGTGTTCTCAGCCTTCAGTACTTTTTCCATGCTCTGTTGCACTTGGTTTTTGCCTCCTTACACCGTCGGGTGAACCAAGGGCTCGTTCTGGTCTTCCCATTATTTCTGTTGCCCATGAGAACAAACCTTTCCTCTGCCTCCTTGCATTTTGTTGTTACGTATTCCATCATTTCATTTACCGACTTTCCTACCAGTTCTCTGTCCCACTGACCCTCTTGCAGGAAGTTCCTCAAACCTATGTAGTCCCCCCGTTTATAGTCTGGCTTTTCCCTTCGTCTCCTGTTACCCTCTCCACTGACTCTCCCTACTGTTCAAAGCACAAAACCACGTGGTCACATACTCCTAGGGGTCTCTCATATGGACGGGTCCTCAATGTCGAACTGCTCAGGGTGAACACGAAGTCCAGTCCTTGCTGGTTCATCATCTTGGCTCTGTTCGGGACCCCTGTGGTTGCCATTCCACTCGATTCACCTGGTGATTGCTCTGTACTCTCTTCGTATCCTCCTGTTGGCACTCCTGGAGTTCTGTGGTGGACTATACATCACTGCACTGGTACCTTGTGCTACCCCGACCTGAAGTGACCACTAGACCCACCTCCAATCCTTGGTGGTTGTCAGAAACCTGTTGAGTTCATGCTGGTAGCACCAACAGGCCTCACTGATCAGTCAACCAGAAACCCTTGGTATCCCTGGGATCGGTCCTGGGTGCACCTACGCTCAGGAATTCACAAGAGCACGGAAGAAAGGGTATAAGATGAGGAAGTTGGATGATTTGAAGAAATGACTGTGATGAGGGTGACAGTACACCTGGACCTCCACACTGATGGTGGTCAAATACTGCCCTAATTGATGATGCTTTTTTAACATACATCTCTTAATTTATAAACCTAATCCAGATAATTGTAGTCCTGTTGCAATAAACAAATTTAACACGCCCAAACCTGATGTTATATTACAATGGCTTGTTATAGTAACATTAAATCTTTGTAGTCGTATAGTTATTACGATTGTGCACACGACACCTGGGAGCCTGGTGGTGCACACGACACCTGGGAGCCTGGTGGTGCACACGACACCTGGGAGCCTGGTGGTGCACACGACACCTGGGACCTGGGGTGGTGCACACGACACCTGGGAAAGCCTGGTGGTGCACACGACACCTGGGAGCCTGGTGTGCACAGACACCTGGGAGCCTGGTGGTGCACACCACTGGGAGCCTGGTGGTGCACACGACACCTGGGAGCCTGGTGGTGCACACGACACCTGGGAGCCTGGTGGTGCACACGACACCTGGGAGCCTGGTGGTGCACGCGACACCTGGGAGCCTGGTGGTGCACACGACACCTGGGAGCCTGGTGGTGCACACGACACCTGGGAGCCTGGTGGTGCACACGACACCTGGGAGCCTGGTGGTGCACACGACACCTGGGAGCCTGGTGGTGCACACGACACCTGGGAGCCTGGTGGTGCACACGACACCTGGGAAGCCTGGTGGTGCACACGACACCTGGGAGCCTGGTGGTGCACACGACACCTGGGAGCCATGGTGGTGTGCACACGACACCTGGGAGCCTGGTGGTGCACACGACACCTGGGAGCCTGGTGGTGAAACACAGACACCTGGGAGCCTGGTGGTGCACACGACACCTGGGAGCCTGGTGGTGCAACGCGGACACCATGGGAGCCTGGTGGTGCACACGACACCTGGGAGCCTGGTGGTGCACGCGACACCTGGGAGCCTGGTGGTGCACACGACACCTGGGAGCCTGGTGGTGCACCTGGGAGCCTGGTGGTGCACCTGGGAGCCTGGTGGTGCACCTGGGAGCCTGGTGGTGCACCTGGGAGCCTGGTGGTGCACCTGGGAGCCTGGTGGTGCACCTGGGAGCCTGGTGGTGCACCTGGGAGCCTGGTGGTGCACCTGGGAGCCTGGTGGTGCACACGACACCTGGGAGCCTGGTGGTGCACCTGGGAGCCTGGTGGTGCACACGACACCTGGGAGCCTGGTGGTGCACACGACACCTGGGAGCCTGGTGGTGCACACGGCACCTGGGAGCCTGGTGGTGCACACGGCACCTGGGAGCCTGGTGGTGCACCTGGGAGCCTGGTGGTGCACCTGGGAGCCTGGTGGTGCACGCGACACCTGGGAGCCTGGTGGTGCACACGACACCTGGGAGCCTGGTGGTGCACCTGGAGCACCCTGGGAGCCTGGTGGTGCACGGGACACCTGGGAGCCTGGTGGTGCACGGACACCTGGGGCCTGGGGAGCCTGGGGTCACCTGGGAGCCTGGTGGTGCACGCGACACCTGGGAGCCTGGTGGTGCACGCGACACCTGGGAGCCTGGTGGTGCACGCGACACCTGGGAGCCTGGTGGTGCACGCGACACCTGGGAGCCTGGTGGTGCACGCGACACCTGGGAGCCTGGTGGTGCACCTGGGAGCCTGGTGGTGCACCTGGGAGCCTGGTGGTGCACCTGGGAGCCTGGTGGTGCACCTGGGAGCCTGGTGGTGCACTACGATATGCACACACGACACCTAGAGACCTTATCTTAAAAATGTTCTTAAAAATGTTAAGTGTGGAACATTTGGGTAATATAGTAAGAGTATGTTTGTTTTCAGTGAGGAGGGCGGGGAGGGCACTGGAGAAGGTGGGGACGCAGCACCGCCCACACCTAGACACCACCACCACCACGCCAAACATCTACTCAAGTATGGCGAGCTGGTCATCCTCGGGTAAGTACCTCCAGTACTCTTTCTTTCCATTTTCTAGTGAATCTCCTTGATCTGTGCCGTCTGCACGGGGCGGTGGACAGTTCTTGGAGTGGTGTTATCGTCGACTACCGCTTCCCAGGAGCACAGCGATTGAGTTGACCTGGTTCCAAACGCTGAGGCCTGGTCCCCACGTGCTACTCAGTGGTGTGACCTCTAACTCTGGGTTACTTAATGTGATTGAAGGAAGGAGGGCTGATGTACTCCCTCGAGAGAGGCTGACTAAAACACCAAAGCCTTCCATCCATGTTGTCATTCTAAATAGAAGTGATCTTTACCCGTTCATCAAAATTTTCGTCGAGAAGAATAAGTAAAAGATTGATGTCTACTGTGGATTCCTCTCAATGTTTGTGCCACAGAATGGAGCCTGAAGGAAATTAAACCATCCTGTGACGAAAGTAATGCTTCAGGTCATGTAAGGATCCAAGAGTGGCCTACCGTCCAGTGATCCTCCCAGTTCTTCCGTACCGGTTATCTGAATGATTCTGCCCCATTGTCCTCATTATCTGCCTACCACCCCAAGGACTCTGCCCCGGGTTTCGTTGTTCCTGGGCAAAGCAACACTTTTGGTCAATTTAGCCGAGATGTGAAGACTTGGTGATAGATGTCCATTTGTCTACAATTCTGAAGGTAGTTTTCAATTTTTTTCTATCCCCCTTTTCTTTTACATTTTTGACTGCAGAGATTCAGACTCCCTGGATGTACTGTAGAAACAAAGTGCACGTATTACCTAATTATTCACGTAAGGTCCTACGAGTCTGGCCCTCCAGTATCTCGGCCTCTACAACTAAATTAGTTTAGACTGCTAGACTCTCTAAGACTGTCAACTCTGCACTGACGTATACCTTGTTACTATGTCTTAGCCATTCTCCTTGTACATTGCGTTAAACAAATTTGGCCCTTTATATTAAATTATTCTTATTGTATTTTTTATTGGAGTGTCTCGCATCATCTGCCATATCCCCGGCTCTCATAAGTTGTAATTTCATTGACAAATTTGGCACCCGTACGCCAGTATTTTCCAGATGTAATTTGCTCTATATTTCTCGATGGTATTCTAAGGAGTGCAGAATGTGGGACTACAGGCATTACCAACAACATCCTCATTGTTGTTAGGTTAGACACATACAACAGTTAGGTATCTTTATTTCGAAACGTTTCGCCTACACAGTAGGCTTCTTCAGTCGAGTACAGAAAAGTTGATAGAAGCAGAAGAGACGTGAAGACGATGTAATCAGTCCATCACCCTTGAAGTTTTGAGGTGGTCAGTCCCTCAGTCTGGAGAAGAGTATTATTCCATAGTCTGAAACCATATGGAGTTGAAGTGACAGGATGGAGCCTTATATACCGCCAGGAGGTGAGATGTAGGCCGCCAGTAGAGGTAAGAATGTAGTCGTTGGGAAGTCACGTCCCTCTCAAATCCAGCCATCTCACTAGTGGATGTCCAAGTTGTTTTCTGTTCTTTACCAAGATACCATTGTGTTGCAGTGTCTGACAGAACAGAAAACAACTTGGACATCATCATCTAGTGAGAATGGCTGGATTTCAGAGGGACAAGAATAAACAGAGCATTAGAATCTTGTCCAGTTCTAATGCTATATTTGTTTTAATCTTAGTTCAAGACTTTTACCAGTTTGACCGTAATAAACTTTATCGCAAATTTTACAAGGAATCTTAGACACATCTTAGACATATTTTGAGGGGAAATTTATCAGAATTTTTTTTTTACTATATCAAGATTTTTAAATACAACTTTGTTTTTATGGTAAGGAGAACCAACATATTTTTAGTTGAATAAGGTTCGTTGTATTTTTTTAATTGTAAAAAGTATTTCTGGCAGTTTTAAAGTATATATCAATTAATTTACTTGGGTATTTTCGATCAGCTATTTCATAAATTTGAGATTTCATCTTTGAATTCTGGACTATAGATACACAAAAGTTCTCAAAAACATTGATGAGAATATCGACAGTTTAACTTTATCTTGATATAAAGAATAATAGTGTACATAGCAACAGTTGTATGTTGGTTTTCTGTAAATTTTAAATTTAAAATCATTGTTACCCTTAATAATTAAAACATCTAGGAAAGGCAATGAGTTATTTTCTTGTAACTCAACAATAAAATTTATAGAATGAGCTAAACTATTTCATTTAACAAGGAAATGATTTATATCTATATTTTTTGACATAAGACACAAAATATCATCAACATATCTATGACATTTAGCTTTCTTAGGAAGGATTGTTAAACAATCTTGTCTCAGAAAATTCCATGTATGAATTACTAAGAACAGGTGAGAGAGGATTTCCCATTGTGAGGGGAGAAGTGTGTTAGGTGTGGTGTGTGTGATGGAGGGGTGTTGGCTCTCTGTCTCTGTCTCTGTCTCTGTCTCTGTCTCTGTCTCTGTCTCCTCTGTCTTCTCTGTCTCTCTCTCTGTCCTCTGTCTCTCTCTCTGTCTTCTTCGTCTCTCTTCTGTCTCTCTGTCTCTCTGTCTCTCTCTGTCTCTCTCTCTGTCTCTCTTTGTCTCTCTGTCTCTCTCTCTGTCTCTTTCTTCTCTTCTGTCTCTCTCTCTGTCTCTCTCTCTGTCTCTCTCTCTGTCTCTCTCTCTCTCTCTCTCTGTCTCTCTCTCTGTCTCTGTCTCTCTCTGTCTCTCTCTCTGTCTCTCTCTCTGTCTCTCTCTCTGTCTCTCTCTGTCTCTCTCTCTGTCTCTCTGTCTCTCTCTCTGTCTCTCTCTGTCTCTCTCTTGTCTCTCTTCGGTCTCTCTCTCTGTCTCTCCTGTCTCTCTCGCTCTCTCTCTGTCTCTCTCTCTCTCTCTCTGCATCTCTCTCTCTCTCTCTCGTCTCTCTCTCATCTCCTCTCTCTCTCTCTCACACACACACACACACACACACACACACACACACACACACACACACACACACACACACACACACAGGATTAGGCAGGACTACAAAGAGACCTGGACACGTGGTCCAGAAACTGCTTTTCGAATTGAATCCTACCAAATGCAAAGTCATGAAGATTGGTGAAAGGCAAAGAAGACTGCAGACAGAGTATAGGCTAAGAGGACAAAGACGACAGACTTCACTCAAGGAGAAAGATCTTGGGGTGACCATAACACCGAGCATGTCTCCGGAGGCACACATCAACCAGATAACTGCTGCAGCAGCATACGGGGGCCTGGCAAACCTGAGAATAGCGTTCCGATACCTTAATAAGGAATCGTTCAAGACACTACACTGTGTACATCAGGCCCATACTGGAGTATGCAGCACCAGTTTGGAACCCACACCTGGTCAAGCACGTCAAGAAGTTAGAGAAAGTACAAAGGTTTGCAACAAGACTAGTTCCGGAGCTCAGTGGAATGTCCTACGATGAAAGGTTGAGGGAAATCGGACTGACGACACTGGAGGACAGAAGGGTCAGGGGAGACATGATAGCGGCATAGAAGATGCTGCGGGGAATAGATAAGGTGGACAGAAACAGGATGTTCCAGAAAGGGGACACAAACAAGGGGTCACAATTGGAAGCTGAAGATTCAGACGAGTCACAGGAAGTATTTCTTCAGCATAGAGTCGTCAGGAAGTGGAATAGCCTAGTAAATGACGTAGTGGAGGCAGGAACCATACATAGCTTTAAGACGAGGTATGACAAAGCTCAGGAAGCAGAGAAAAAGAGGACCTAGTAGCGATCAGTGAAGAGGCGGGGCCAGGAGCAGTCTCGACCCCTGCAACCACAATTAGGTGAGAGAGAGAGAGCGCGCGCGCGCAGCACACACACCCACACACACACAACACACACACACACACACACACACACACACACACACACACACACACACACACACACACACACACACACACACACACACACACACACACACACACACACGGGGACACACGCACACGCGCACACACGCACACACGCAACGCGCACACACGCACACGACACACACGCAACGCACACACGCACACACGCCACGCCACGCACACGCACACACGCACACAGCACACACGCAGCCACACGCACACACGCACACGCACCACACACGCACACACGCACACACGCACACACCACAACGCACACACGCACACACGCACACACACACACGCACACACGCACACACACACGCACACGCACACGCACACGCACACGACACACGCACACACACACACACACACACACACACACACACACACACACACACACGTATTTACGTACGTACGTACGTACGTACGTTTGACGCAGTAACAACACTGCATCAAGATTGATTTTGACTTTGGCTTTCTCTGTTGTGTGCTCTTTCATGTTTCCTCCTCTGCTGCCTTTCCCATGCCCTCTCTTCTCAGACTTTTTACCCCCCTGCCTTCTCTTCTGCCAGCTTCCTCTGCCTTTTTCTTTATTTTTTCCACCGACTTCGCTGTTTTTCCCCTTGCTTAGTTTCACTACCGTTTCCCTTTTTTACATCACTTTCTTTACTGCCTCCATATTCCTGCCATCCTTCCTTGCTTTTAAAAGTCCTGCCTTCTTTTTCATGCTCTCATTTTTCCCTGTTATCTTTGTCGTGTTTTACTTTGGCTTCTCTTGATGTATTGTTACTGTCCGTGTAAATTTGTTGTCAGTTCAAGTAAATTGTAAACCATGTATAGCACGTGAGGAGTTACTAGAATTTACAGTTTGACGTAACTGGACGCTCGCAGTGTTGCATACTTGCTGCCACTGTTTCCACACCTGCACACTGAAATGACTTGTTGCTAGACCAAGAATCAGCAGACGTGCAAAATACCCCAATCTGGAGTCTACCTAGCGTGTGTTACTAGTGTCAGTGCCTCTGCGTCCTGGTCCCAGACTAGGCCTGCCGGTGGATGACCTGCACAACCAGGCTCTTAGTGCTAGCCACATGAATTCCAGCGTAAGCTTCACCACATAAACACCACAGCTGATGAGACTGTGGTGCTTAA